AACATGAGTCTTTTGGGGTCACTTCATATCCAAACTGTCAGAAATTTAGGAGCTATAGATTGGTAAAAGAATTTACTAAAATAGGAGAAGAGGAGAAACCAAGACTTCTTTGGATGGCATTAGAGGAAAGAAAAAAACGGTGGGCAGCGAGACAAAGGAGTAGAGCACACCTAGGCAAGGTTAAGTGCAGGTTTTATACCTTTGATTGGGCTTCTTTTTCATTGGCTGTCTCCTTTTTGTGGACCTTACTGATTGGTTGTCTTCCTCGAATCATGGTTTGAATTTCAACTTGACTTTTGTTCCTGCATTCCATTTGTCCTCCACACAAATGATAATAGGTATGTTAAGAATCCTTAGTGATCTTTCTGAATATGATTTTTACTTGGGAAGTAGAGATCAAGAGGACCCATGGTTCAAGGCCATCCCCAGCAAAAAGTTAATGAGACCCCATAAAGGAACTAACTTGACTTGGTATGGTTCATACCTGTAATCCCAGCTACTCAACAGGTAAATGTAGGAAGATCAAGGTCTGAGGAGGTCCTGTGCAAAAACACAAGATCCTATCTGAAAAACAAGTAAAGCAAAAAAGAATTGGGGGTATGAGTCAAGTGGTAGAGCACCTGCCTAGTAAGTGTGAGACACTGAGTCCAAACACCAAACTGCCCCCCAAAAAGATAAATTACTAGTCTTTCAGAATACACTCACACACACAACTTGGTAAACTATATTTAGACCATACTTGGATTAGATTAGACTGTTGTGAATGTAATGAATATTGTTACCATACTTCTACTATGTGGTTATTTAAAAAGGCCACATAATCATTTCTAGTGCTCTATTCCTAGCATATGCCATCTTTCATTTTCCATTAACATAGCATTCCACTGACTTTATGATTTTGACTTTTGTTGCTTCCATAGTATTTTAATCAATATACTATCAAGATAGTGACACATAGCCTTCTAAACTGTGGTTGTGGGTTAAAACAAAAAGAATGCAAATGTATCATGTTTTTATGTATTTCATGGCAAGTAACTTAACTGTATTTGGAATAAAGCTTGTATTCATTATGGGAACATTTTGGGGTTTGTTACTGTTTTTGGTGTACGTGTATGTTGCTGAGGATTGAACCCAAGGCTTCTCATATGCCAGGCAAGTGCTCTACCACTGAGCCACATCCCCATTCCCTCATTGTGGAAGTTTTTTACAGAGGACTTTTACAAAATAATTAACTTTTAAAGGCCACAGTTTAACATATTTGTATGATTTTTTTTCTTTTCTTTTTTTTTTTCTTTTTTTTTTTTTTTTTATTTATTTTTTTTATTCATATGTGCATACAAGGCTTGGTTCATTTCTCCCCCTGCCCCACCCCCTCCCTTACCACCCACTCCCCCTCCCCTCCCCCCTCAATACCCAGCAGAAACTATTTTGCCCTTATCTCTAATTTTGTTGTAGAGAGAGTATAAGCAATAATAGGAAGGAACAAGGGGTTTTGCTGGTTGAGATAAGGATAGCTATACAGGGCATTGACTCACATTGATTTCCTGTGCGTGGGTGTTACCTTCTAGGTTAATTCTTTTTGATCTAACCTTTTCTCTAGTTCCTGTCCCCTTTTCCTTTTAGGCCTCAGTTGCTTTAAGGTATCTGCTTTAGTTTCTCTGCATTAAGGGCAACAAATGCTAGCTAGTTTTTAGGTGTCTTACCTATCCTCACCCCTCCCTTGTGTGCTCTCGCTTTTATCATGTGCTCAAAGTCCAATCCCCTTGTTGTGTTTGCCCTTGATCTAATGTCCACATATGAGGGAGAACATACGATTTTTGGTCTTTTGGGCCAGGCTAACCTCACTCAGAATGATGTTCTCCAATTCCATCCATTTACCAGCGAATGATAACATTTCGTTCTTCTTCATGGCTGCATAAAATTCCATTGTGTATAGATACCACATTTTCTTAATCCATTCGTCAGTGTGGGGCATCTTGGCTGTTTCCATAACTTGGCTATTGTGAATAGTGCCGCAATAAACATGGATGTGCAGGTGCCTCTGGAGTAACAGTCTTTTGGGTATATCCCCAAGAGTGGTATTGCTGGATCAAATGGTAGATCGATGTCCAGCTTTTTAAGTAGCCTCCAAATTTTTTTCCAGAGTGGTTGTACTAGTCTACATTCCCACCAACAGTGTAAGAGGGTTCCTTTTTCCCCGCATCCTCGCCAACACCTGTTGTGGTGTTGCTGATGATGGCTATTCTAACAGGGGTGAGGTGGAATCTTAGTGTGGTTTTAATTTGCATTTCCTTTATTGCTAGAGATGGTGAGCATTTTTTTCATGTGTTTTCTGGCCATTTGAATTTCTTCTTTTGAGAAAGTTCTGTTTAGTTTACATGCCCATTTCTTTATTGGTTCATTAGTTTTGGGAGAATTTAGTTTTTTAAGTTCCCTGTATATTCTGGTTATCAGTCCTTTGTCTGATGTATAGTTGGCAATATACATCAGAACTCCCACTCTGTGGGTGTTCTCTTCAGTTTAGAGACCGTTTCTTTTGATGAACAGAAGCTTTTTAGTTTTATGAGGTCCCATTTATCTATGCTATCTCTTAGTTGCTGTGCTGCTGGGGTTTCATTGAGAAAGTTCTTACCTATACCTACTAACTCCAGAGTATTTCCTACTCTTTCTTGTATCAACTTAAGAGTTTGGGGTCTGATATTAAGATCCTTGATCCATTTTGAGTTAATCTTGGTGTAGGGTGATATACATGGATCTAGTTTCAGTTTTTTGCAGACTGCTAACCAGTTTTCCCAGCAGTTTTTGTTGAAGAGGCTGCTATTTCTCCATGTATATTTTTAGCTCCTTTGTCAAAGACAAGTTGGTTATAGTTGTGTGGCTTCATATCTGGTCTCTATTCTGTTCCACTGGTCTTCATGTCTGTTTTTGTGCCAGTACCATGCTGTTTTTTATTGTTATTGCTTTGTAATATAGTTTGAAGTCAGGTATTGTGATACCTCCTGCATTGTTCTTTTGACTGAGTATTGCCTTGGCTATTCGTGGCCTTTGTTTTTCTTTCACGTTTCCTAATAGCCAATAATAACTGACTTAAAAACTTTAAATCATTTTTACCTATTAACTTGTAATAAACTCAAGTAACTATAAACAGGACTTTTAATGGTTCATATTTATAAATCTTTGCATACATCTCTGTCAGACATTCCTTTTTTAAACCCTTTACATTAGCATATAATGTTGTACAGAGGATACATTGTGATATTTACATATGTGCTTATAACATACTCTTAGTTTAGATTTAACCCCCACATTGTTCTCGTCTCTTCCTGCCACTCCCCGCTTCTTAAAACAATTAGTCAAAAACCGATTTCATTCCTTCTATTTCCTATTTATGGATATAAAATATCTTCATCATATCACCCTCATTGTCCTTCCGTATCCTTTGTGGGGCCCCACCTCCACCTGGTAATCCATTCCTGGAAAAACCTATTTACTTCCCTGCCTGCAGCTTCATCTTTCTTTTTTTTGTAAAAGTGTAATATTTGCATAGTCCAAGGGAGGTCTTTTACCGTTGGTACTGTCATGCCTCTGTATTCATGCCTTTATCAGAATTAACCCCCTTCCCTGTTATTGCTCATTCTCTATCACCATGATCCGTAATATCCAGCAACTTAAAGTAAGCAGCGCATTATATTCAATATGTAGAATGGTTTGTTTCATATTTTTTCATTCTTCACACATTTTTCTTACTCTCGCCACCTCCTGTTAGTCCCCTCAGCAGACTCACTAATACAATTTTGTTCTGTCTCTCACTATATATGTGTATACATGCACTTATATCATATGAGTATAAGATGTATGTGTGGTATATCTATATGTGAGATAATCTATTATCTATCTATACATTTACATTTTAACTTACCCTAGACCTAGCTGTCCCACATATGAGGGAAAAGTGCAACCTTTTTGAAAACTTTTTGAACTGGCTTTTACTTCACTTAACATGAAGTTCTCCGGTTGCATCCATATACCCGCAAATAACGTAATTTCATTCTTCTTTATGGTTCAGTAAAACTCCATTGTTGCATATATGTTACATTTTCTTGATTGATTCATCAGTCATGGGGCATCTGGGCTGTTTCCAAAGCTTGGCTTTTATAAATAGCTGTCAGACATATTTGTAAAGGCAGAATTGCTGAAATCAAAGGATAATTACACTTATAATACTGTTGATAACAGATTTGCCAGTTCCAATTACTTTATTCTTAATGAAACTGAACATTTTTACTCTGTTCTATTACAAATTGGTGTGTTCTTTTCTCATTCTAAAAATAGCAGGTACATCTTTTCTAATTAATTTATAAGAGTTCTTTTATAGTAATGATACGTATTAGTCTTGTGACAGATATATTACAGAAGGACCCCTCTAAGTTTGTCATTTCCCTTTTGTTTGTTTTGTTTTCTAGTCCTCTTCCTTTTAATTTTTTAATTAAGTTTGTTTTTTACACATACACGTTTAAATTTTTTGGTTTTTTGAGGTGGGTCTTTTCTTTTATGACTCTCCCTCTTTATGTCTTATGCTCAAAAAGTTCTTTCCTATCTATCCACTTTCTAAAAATTATTAAATTTAGGGGTTTTTTTCCTTTGGTTTTTTTTACAGCTAGTATTTCAACAAAATGTCTTATTGCCAATTTTCTAAACTGAGATTACAGTTATGAGCTTGCTGAAGAAATTACTTTTCCCTTTTCTTTCTCAAACATGGGATTTCTGCTGAATTGTACCTGATAGAATTTTGACATTAGGGAAAATACTTCCTTTTTCTGATGTTCAGAAAGAACCAATGGATGTTTTGATTTTTCACATTTTAATTTTGCCCCAGTGTTTAAGTACAAAAGAAGGAAAATCCAAGCCTGTATTTATAAATAACACATAGTTTTGGTTTTGCTTTTTAATTTCCTTTTTAGCTACTCCCTAACAGTAAAGCATGATTATTTTTTTTCTAGGATCCTTGCAGCCTTTCCTGGAAGCCTGTAGCAACTCTTCATTTTTTCGTACTTGTTCTGTGCTGCTTCGAACCCCTAAGCTTGATCTTCAAATCTTAGAAAAGCTCAGTATTATTCTACAGAAACTTTCCAAAATCAAGTAAGAATTTCTTTTAATATTTTTTATTGAAGGATGTCATTTTGTGGTCATTTAGGCCTTTCTGAAACCCATACCAGTTCAACTTTGATTAATCAAGTTTTCAAGTGTACAGATGTAAAAAATTAAGATTCATGAATATTAGTGCTAATCAGAGACCATGTATTTAATAATAGACTAGAATTAGAATATTAATCTTAGAAATATTAATCTTTCTTTAGTTAGCTAAGCAAACGCTACAGGTAGTAAGTACATGAATTTAAGAGCAGGGGGTTTTTTGTTTGAAGGTTTTTGTTTTGTGGTATTTGTGATGCTAGGGATGAAATCAGAGCCTCTCATCTGCTAGGCAGGTACTCTACCACTATGCTACATCTCAGGTTTTAGCAACCAAATTATAATATCAGAACAAGTCATTGTACACTAGTATTCTGTTTACCATAGGTGAAAATAAAAAAGACAATAAAATGTATTTTGTAATTCCTTATTAATATACTAAAGTGAGTTTGGGTAAAAGAGATTTAAAATTTAGTACGTGGGTTTATTTTAGGAAACTACTCTTGTTGATTTGAATTTTATTGTGAGAATCAAGGGCTTTTTCTCTCCTCTTTCTTCTTTCCTCTGATATAACCTTAATTATAAATTAAACAACATAGATTTTAAACTGTATTTTCTCAGAATTTCTCCCTCTCTTTCTCTTCTTCCTCCTCTTGCTGTGTAACCCAAGCTAGGTCTTGCTATATAACTCAAGCTGACCTGGAACTAGCCTCTTGCCTCTGCCTCCTAAGTGCTGGAATTAATATGTGTGCCATAGGACTATGCCCGTCACATGTCATTTTTATCAAAGTAAAATCTTGAATTTTGTTCACCTCTTTCTCTTGGTCCCATCCTTTCATCTGTGATGAAAAGATGAACTTAATTTTACCAGTCCTTAATATACTTAAATGGCGAATGTAATCATCTTTACACCTTTTTATCTTTTTTGGTGGTACAAGGGTTTAAACTCAGGGCTTTGCACTTGCAAAGCAGGTACTCTACTGCTTGAGCCACACCTCCAGTCCATTTTGCTCTGATTATTTTGGAGATGGGGTCTCATCAACTATTTGCATAGACTGACTTTGAATCATGATCCTCCCAGTCTCAGCATCCTGAGTAGCTAGAATCACAGGCATGAACCACTGGTGCCCAGATGCATCTTTGCATCTTAAAATTCTTGGTAGATAAAGATAATAGATTTGTATGTTCCTTTGGTCCCATGTCTACTACATTGTAGTAAATTATTAATTGCCAAATTAAAACCATATTCTCAACTCTCAAAATTATAAAATTATTAGTTTTGATCTGGTATCAAACTTATAAATTTTATGGTCTCCCTTTTTTAGCAGACTGAACCATGATTCTCTTGATTTGTAATCGGTAAAATCTCAATGCAGCCTGTTAGAAGCTGCAATAACATTACCTAGATTTAATTACTTTTTTACCTCTTAATTCATGGGATTTTTAAAAAAGTAGTTCTAATGTGGAAGCATATCCTTAGGCCATAATGTTTTACTCTTCATGATGTGTTTTATTGCTTGGGTTAATTTTAGACTTAGCTAAAGAACTAGAGCACAGCTTGAATAAAAGGTTGGGAATGAGTGAACCTCAAACAAGACAAGGTAAATATTTAAGAACAAAAAGATTAATCCTTTTGGATGAAATGGATGGTAGATAAGATGATTTAATAATTACTCTTAAGCGGCAAATATACCTAGACAAGGAAATAAGAAATATGTTACTATAAAGTAAGATTCTTAGTGATTGAAAATGAAATTACTGACTGGCTGTCAGAGAGAGGATGGTTGAAAAGTCCAAAGGTAAACCAATATCCTGTCACTTTAAAAGCTATTTTACTTAAGATAACCAATTATTGGACTCTTTTTTTTTTTCTACCTGTGGGGGGAAAAAAGTATTCCTTATTCTCTGATAGTGAATAGGATGCCATTTTCAAGAGTATAAAATGTTTTCTTTTTTTCATTTAATGCTTTTCCACTTCAGATCTGTCTCAAAAAAATCTGTTTTATTTGTCTTAGCATCTTAATTCCTTAGTCATTTCTCCAGTATTTTTAAAAAATAAATGCCATTTCCTCACAGTTACACATAAGTTATCTCAAGGTCATGATAGATAACTTTCCTAAATACGTATAATTAAATGATGTACTCATTTTTTTTAACAGGAGTAATAAGAGGCTCTTTGAACTTTTTACAATTCATCTGATGCTTCAAGAAATACAAAGGACGACACATCCAGAGCATGCCTTTCTCTGTATTAACCTAAATTCAACTCTGTTCAATTTGGGTTTAACAAAATGCAACTCCCTGGTCTCTAATGCAAGCCATTAGACTGGCATATTATACTACGTGTGTGTATGTGCGCACATCTCTGTGTGTGTGTTCCTTATTTGTAGAAGTACAAAAATCCCCAAAGTAATATTCTGTCAAGTTATCAGTAGCATCACTTATCATGAAAGATAACTAGAAAATTTTTTTCAACTTTGTAAATAAAATCTCTAGTGGAAGCTATGGAAGATTTGGAATGTTTCAGTTTAAGGTAGTACTAATGTACAAGGTGGCATTTCCAGAATTTATGACACTGGGGTTACTTTTTGTAAAAGTATTTTAGGAAAACTTTATTAAAATTATGTGATAATTTGAAATAAATTGGTTGCTTATATGGGAACAGTTAAACCATGTTGTCATTCTGTTGTCTTAATATAGTAGAATCCTTCCTTTTAGAAGCAAATGTATGTATTATGTATTTTTTAATGTCTGGATATGTTGGGTTTTTTGAGTGTTGGGAATGGAACCCAGGGGCCTTTTGCATGTTAGGTAAGTACTCTGCCACTGAGCTATACTTCTAGCTTAAAAGTACAGTTTTATGTTTTTTGGGTTTTTTTGTTTGTTTCTTTTGGACAGTACTGGGGACAGAACTCAAGGCCTTGCATTTGCTAGGCAGGTGTTCTACCATTTGAGCCACAACACCAGCCTAAAAGTACAATATTCTTTAACTTCTTAACTTGTGAATGACAGATGGTAGAACAGAGATTGGCACTCCAGCACAGGGGTATTTGGTGTTTCTGAAGAAGAGAACAGAGTAAGTGGAGTAGATGCGATATTCAAAGATACACAGTTAAATAAAAATTTTGGCGGGACAAAGAAAAATCATGTACAGATTGAAAGGGCATCCAAAAACTAGATGAGAAAAGCATTCTATAATTAGATGCATCCTGGAAAAATAATAAATTACAAGGTTTAAAAAAAAAACACTTATCTACAAGACAAGAAAAACATGCTGGCCTAATTGAATGCCAGACATCAGTCCCTATTGATGAGCCTCACCCTTGCAAGAGAAGTGCTCTACCACTAGAGCCATGCCTTGAGCCCCTTTTGCTTTAGTTATTTTTTGAATAGGATTTTTAATTTTGTCTGGGCCAACCTGGATCTCAATTCTGCTGTTCTTTGCCTCTTGAGTAGCTAGGATTATAGGTGTGAACCACCAACCTGGAGGAGAAAAATTTTAGTCAAAAATATTATATGTAATTAAGATGTCTTTCATAGGTGAACAAAATGAAAAAGACATTTTCAGACAATCAGGTGTTCAGAAGTTGTACTTCTTATGTACTCAAGAGAAGAAACTACTTAAAGACTGACCAATTCAGAGGTGAAGGAAAACTGAGTGAGAAAAGCTGATCTAATAATCAACCTCATCCCAAAAAAGACTGTAATGAACACTGAAACCACTTAAACATAAATTAAAATAATTGTTCTAAATCTATAAAATGGAGTGAGATGCTAAGTTTTTCAAAAGGATAAATAATGAAAAAGGCAATAACTTAATAATAAGTATTTGACTGAGACTGTATTAACCTCTCTTAACAAAAACTGAGAAATAGTGGAACCTTGAGATAGAGGTAGAGATGAAAGATAAGCTGGTAAGTAATACATTTGTAATTCTGTATTCTTGTCAGAAATAGTGTTCCATTCCCATATTAGTTTGGGGGACTTGGAATATACTTCAGTTGTATCCATCTATGAGGCCATTGGTTTGATCATCCCCAGCACTGAAAAAAAACAAAAATTCAATATTAACTTTGACTGAAAAAGGGTAAATATTCTCAAAAACACTGAAAAAAAATCTATGTAGACATAACAGCAAATAAGATGCCAGAAATACAAAGAAAAATATTTAGAATAGTTTTTTGATCTAAAAATGAATTCTGTATTGCCATGTATGATAAATTTGAAATGTGAAGACTGTTTTCTAGAAAAAGACATCAAAATTGTCTTAAAATTTTTCAATAGAAAATTATTGAAGCCTTTAGTGAATTTTTTTTCAAATACCAAGTATTTTATAGATCTTATTTAACCAAAAATGTCAAAAAGTATTCAAATTTATTTTATAAAGATAACACGAATTCAGTATCATCAGAGAAAGTGAGAAAGGTAAGATATATTCATAAGTCTTGAGAGGATTCCAAGATGGCGGCTAGAGGGAGGAAGCAGAAAGCATGCCTCCTAAAGTAAAATCTTGGAGAGACACTGGAAATACACCTTACAGGAAAAACCACCAAGAAGAGGCAAAACTTTGACTCCTCCACACCCCCAGCCTGTGCATAGCATCTCCACTGCACGTTAAACAGAGAAACCAGGAGGGCTCCCACACTGCCACAAGACACCAGTGCCCAGACAGCTTAGGAAGACGCAGACCACAAGGTGAGCTACATGGGACGCAGTATTCCCACAGACAATCCTGGGGCCAGATCAGCATAGCCCC